CCCCGGCTGCGTCCCCGGCCCACACCCTGCCGCTTGCCTCCGGCCGGGTGTCACAGCAGACACCCGCTCCCCGCCCCGGGGGTCTCTCGTCAGGCTGGAGCCCTGGACTGGGGGTGAGCTGGCGGCATCGAGCTCGCCGTCACCCCCAGGCCGGGCCTGGCCCTCCGGCCGGGCTGCCCTCTGCCACCAGCGTCCCGCCCGTGGTCCCTCGGGCCCGGGCTGGCAAAGCTGACGTGCAGTTCGGGTCAAAACCACGGCCAGAGTAGCACTAGAAAACTGCATTCTCTGCCTTGTGCTGTAAATACCAGGAAGGAGAAGTCTGTAGAAAATGTAAATTCTCAAGACTGAGCAGAAACTTGCATCAAAACAGTATGTTTCCATTTCAGATTAATGTGAAATAATACATTAAATTGGCTTGTTGCTGTCGGCCAGCCATGAGGTAGTTGAAACCACAGGCTGCTTTGTCTAAGAACTTACACTGAATTTTTTAGATTGGGTATATAACCTAATTCACTGTCACAGATGGTTACAAACAGAAAATAATATATGGAAAGAGTTCTTTAACAAAGTAACGTTATCTCTAAAGCTACTAGGATGATATTGTATTATATATTTACATAACATTTTGTTTGGCATTGTTTAATAAAAAGCTTTGTGTTTTTTAGTTCTGCTTGTTAAGTGTTTGTTTTTGTGTCTCTTAACAGTGACTGTGTTCTTAAGCACTTTGACTCCAAAATTCTACTTTGCCCTTACAGTGACTTCATCTTTTATATCCGGACTGATATTTGTAAGTAGTCTACTTTTATTTTTTTAAACAACTTCAGCATCTCTAGGATGCTTTCACTGGGGTAAATGCAATTGGCTTTTTTTTTTGTCAGACTCTAGAGGGTGCCTTTGTACTAGGAAGGAACTTGTTATTCATTAGCTTTTCTGATACATACGTACTCTTTTGCTATGTGTGTTGTACACTGGGGTGAGTCTAAGAAAAATAAATTGTCCCTGTTTTAGAAACTCAGGGTTGTTTTAAGGAGGTATGTGTCCCCATGTCCACGTACATATATGTGTGTGTATACATAGATACGTAAAAAGTGCAAAATATACTTGCAAACTCTGCAGACCTCTCTGTGTAAAGAAAATACTGAGATTTTTATCTTTTTTTAAACTAGGTAGTTAAGAGTTTAGCTTCCCACAGTAATTGTTGGGAGGTTTTTATGCATGTGTCATCATGTAACAACAACTTTGGTGTGAAAATGAGCCAATAATTCAGCTCATCTTCAGATGACAGTGGGCACAGATGTGGCTGACTGCATGAAATGAACGGGGCGAGCTTACATGGTCAGTTCTGCTCACGCAGCTGTTTCTGCAGTGCTATCATCTGACCCTGATGCAGACTGTGGTACTATCTACAAATCTTTTGGGTTAATCTTTATTTTCAGTATTAAAAGCTAAAGGAAATAGCTCATCAGTTAACCTATTTAGCAGAATGTGCAAAATGTATTTCATAAGTGATTTTTTTGTAGCCAATCTAAAAAAAGTGTCTCGTGGCAGAAACAACTTTGTTTGCTCTAAGTAATATTGCTTGGGTTTTGATTGAAGGATTTGAGGAAAGTCATATAAGGAGAAAGATTCTGCTTGCGATAGGTCTTTTATGTAGGTTTGCTCTTAAGAGAAAAAAGTGGTTATTGATCAGCCACTATTTATAGTAATGCTTCTTAACAAAAAATTCAGTTTGTCTAAACATCACTTTTTTCTGCGTGCTAATGAAAATGCTCAGATAAGCTGGTCCAGGGCTGACAGTATGGTATAGTGCTTGAGGACTGTGATACACAGGTATTCTTAATAGTTTCAAAGCGAGAGAGAGAGAAATACTTTTGACCCAAAATTTCTGGTAAGTGAACTTGATTGCTGTTAATTCAACCTTTCCTCTTTGGGCTTTTCTGACTGGCAGAACATGTCAGTTTAACTCTCCATTTTGTGCTTTATTCTTTTAGATTGTTTTTGTAAAATGAAAAAACTACACCCATCTTGCAGTTCTTGCCTCTATGCACAGTTTCCCTATACAGGCCCTTTCTTGAAAGGGTTCAGAACTTATCCTAATGATTTGGGGAGGGAGGAATGTATGTTTGACTAAAATTTTACTGTTTTTTTTCAGTCTCTTTCATGTTATGTGGGTGATCCTGTGTGACAAGATGGGCCAAAACAGATATAATTAGTGTTAATTTGTGTGTGGATAAGTTCTGTCTATGGTCATTGGCAAGGCGATATCCTGGCTGTGAACAACTGGCACTTCATCTCTGACATTTATGTTGAAGGGTGTTGCCTAAGGAAACTTCTCGTGCTTTTTTCTCCTGTGACAGGTGTTTGAGTGGTGGCATTTCCGAAAATATGGCACGTCTTTCATTGAGCAGGTTTCTGTGAGTCATTTGAGGCCCCTCATCGGTGGTGTAGAAAACAGCCCTCCAGCACCAGCAGCTTTCTCAGCTGGAGAGAATGAGACAAGCAGGCAGAATATGCCAGGTGATGGTTAATGTTTCTCAGCAGTTTTCCCTGAGCTTCAAGGCAGCTGGTTCACATGAATTGGCTTTTAAATGGCTTTGACTCTAGTGTTTGTAGTAACTAGAGAAAGGCCTACATCTTACAATGTGTTTTTTTAATAATGGTAAAGATAAGTAGTAATGTATCTTTGGTCTAAAACATTCATGATTAAAAACATGTTTTAGAAAATATATTACACGCTTAGCTAAAACTGTTTCAGTAACATTAGATATGTACTGTTCTGAATATGTGCAAGATAAACATCGCATGAGTGTAAATGGCAGTGTTTAATCTTTCCACCATATGCTTTTGTGCTCCAGCAATGTTGGGGAGCAAAAATGTTTGTGGGATAGCAGAAGTTAGATAGGAGAAGAAGATTGTATGATCATGCTCAGGTTGTATAACAATAAAATTAAAGCAGCTTTTGAAAGTAAAACTGCATTTGCATTACTGCATTTTAAAGTCAAGGTACTATTTCCTGTGCTCTTAATTCCAAAAGTATTTTTTTTTTTTCCCCCAGAGTGCAAAGTGTGGCGAAACCCTCTCAATCTTTTCAGAGGGGCAGAGTATAGCAGGTATTAATTATCTTACTTTCCATTGTATATTTTTAAAATTAATCGGGGGCATACATGACTTCTTCGCAGAGCTTTCACTAGTAATATCAGGAGACAGCTGAGACCTGTAAGATTATAGGGGTGATTGATGCCAATCCTGTGTTTAAAAGGCATCTGTCCGAGCTTTGGCAGTTTCAATGTTAAGAATGCAAATACTACTGTAACATCATCAGCTTTTTTGAGAGTAAAGTAGGAGAAAAGCTTTATTCAGAGGTTGAGACAGTGATTCTGAATCTAAATTCTCTTTTATTAAACTGATGGCTGTGTTGTAAGTTTCCTTGTGTTATTTCATAGGAAAAGCTGCTTCCTAGGAAGCCAGTTCCCAAGTTGTTTAGAACTTGAGGACCAAAAAGACTTTTTTTTCCCCTCTGCAGGAGGCCTTCTGGCAACCTGTACAGATTATGGAACAGTAATACTTGAAAACTTCTGGTTGGTAGCTCCAGTCTTTTATTAATAAAAATTTTCTGTGCTAGCTTCAGTTGTTAGGCACATCAGATATCCCCCTTGGTGTCAGCATTACTATTTACTGGGAATGCCTCTTACTGACATTTCTCCCATTAAAGATACATGTGGGTGACTGGGAAGGAGCCTCTTACATACTATGACATGAATTTGTCTGCTCAAGATCATCAGAACTTTTTCACGTGTGATACAGATGCCCTACGGCCTTCCGATACAGGTACCAATGTCGTATGCATAAGGTATATAACTGTTGGAGAGTGTAAAGCGGGTATTTTTAATATACTTCAAGGTAGCGCAAGTTATTGTGTCAAATATTTGTGAAATGATAGTCTTTCTCAACAACTGAGGAGGTTTGATAGATGTATTTAGTGAAAAAGATGTTTTTTTTACCTTGTGCTTGCTCCACTGACTTCAATACTGTCAGGATCCTGACATATTTTAAGATCTCGCACTTTTCAAATAATTAACAAAACCATATTGAAAACCTGGATTGTATTCTCAGCAGCCAAAGATGTGGTCTCATTTAAACCTGACTAATGAATAGTGCAGTCTCCAGAACTTTTTCGTTGTGTTCCACGTGTTCAGTGCAGAAAATGTTCTCTACCTGGTTATTGTCAGACAGGGTGCGAACTATTGTCAATTTGTCAAGTTCCGGAAGTGTTCCTTGTCAGCTGGCTGTGACATGCTTGATATGAACGACGTGTTTTTGTTTCACAAATGGAGTGTATTGTCTCGCTTACTAAGCCAAGACTAATATTTTGTTTCCAAAAGAAAGCTCAAACATTTTTCCAGTTATTCTTGCTGGACAGCAGAGGGTTTTGTTCCAAAAGAAACATGTATAGATTCTTCAGTTTTCTTATCGTACTTGAGATAGGCCAGATATGTAACTCCATGAACGTAAGGTTTTGGAGTTCTTTCAGAACTGTTATTTAGTGTGAAAGCTATTAGTTCTGCATAGAAAATGGTAGCTCCAAGTACGTTGTTTTTCTTTTGCTAGAAGTTGGTTTTCAGTTTGGGATTTCCATTTTTCCCTAATGGAAGCATGGTGGGGAGGGGTTTAGAGTCATTGCATTGAACTTTTGTTTGCTCCTTATCGGACCGTAATTTTGAATTCAAGTTGTAATTCAAATGACCCTTTTGAATAGATAGATTTCACCCTTTTTAGTTGTTTCCTAGAACGCTTTCTAATAAGGTGATAAATTATTATAGTATATCTTGAACTGGCTTTGCCATGTCATGCCATTCAAATATGCTTTGTAAATTTAAAAAGAAATTGTTTAACCCTTTATGATCTGGTAGTTGTCTAAATACTTAAGTATGAATCTATACCTGTGCAAGACCCAGCTTACTCTATCACTCTTTTCTTTGAAGTTCTGTTTGAAAGTTTAAATTAAAATTCTGTGCAGGTCTGTGCAAGAGCCTGTGTTTAACAATTGCTCCTGCCAAGCTTTCAACAAGTCTTGGGAAATGTTTCCAAAAATCTGTAGCAATTTAGAAATTGTACATCTGCCTGGTTATGTAAGCTGTCTTTGCTTTTCAGTGTAGGAGTTCTTAAATGGTCAGTGAATAATCTTCCTGGTGGTGTTGCTTTCTTAAATTAAATTTGGGGCGTAATGAGAAGTTGCAAGATTCTGGTGCTTGTGGTAGAAACTCATGCTGGAATTAAAACACTTGTTTACTCTTCCCTCTAACAATTATATAGCAAACGGGAATTTGCAAAATGGAAGTGAACGTGAATGTAGAGCTGAGGCATAAGCAGCCAGTGTTGCCTCCCTTGGCTCCCAGGTCTTTCTCCGGTGTCTCTGTCCCTCACCAGCCTTTCCGTGTTTTTGCAACAGTTATGCAGAAAGCATGGCGAGAGAGAAACCCTCAAGCCCGGATTAAAGCAGCATATCAAGCTTTAGAGTTGAACAATGAGTGAGTTTAGAATATAAATTCAATTGCTGTATTTCTAATGTGAAAGATGAAGCGGAGTGGTATTGAGCACACTGTCAGTTTCTTGTTCTAATAATTTACTTTTAGCAAGGTTCTGAATAGCTTACGGGGGACTTCTGTGACTATGAGAATTGCACACGGGGTTGTCAACTGTACTGAAGTATTGAACTGGTCTACAAAAAAATAGCTTTTGTTCTCCCTTTTACTTGGGAAAGATTTTTAAACAAATTTTCATATCAGTAGCAGTAACAAATGAGAAATCTTATTCAGATGTGGAACAGTCTAAATTGAATATGAGATCGTATGTGTTTCAGAGATGGCATTGTGGTAATGCTGTATTTGGAGTTCACAGATGCCGCTCCTGTAAGGGATTTAAAAATACTCTTAAAACACAAACCAAAGAATTTCATGTACTTCTGTCATTGGTTTTGTTATGTAGTCTCGTCGTTTTTGTGCAAAATGCCTACCTCCTGGTTTTAAAAAAAAAAACAAACCCAAAAAAACCTCTCCAGACAATTACCAGAGCATTTTTAATATTTCAAGGAAAGTAATTTGACTTGCTATTACAATTCTTTCTTTTGTTCTTTCTTCAAATGTGTGTGTTTTCTACAAAATGGAAAAGGTTTATGTTTTCCTGACACTCACTGTTTAAATTCAAGTAAATATTTTGGTACTTTAATGTTGTCAATGCTTAGATATTAAACATAAGTGAAAACTGCCCATTTCTAATGCTTTTAACACTTATTCAAAAAATACTGAACTTTGTCCCTCAGAATAATTAAGTGGGTTTTTCCTTACTACAGTTGTGCCACTGCATATGTCCTCTTGGCTGAGGAAGAAGCGACAACGATTGTAGATGCTGAGAAGTATTTCAAGCAGGCTCTGAAAGCAGGAGAAATGATTTACAGAAAGTCTCAGAACTGCCATTCCCAAAGTCCCCAGCACGAAGCACAGCTGCGTAAGCACTTCTGAACCACATAAACTCTTGTTTTTGTGTGAGCAGAAATGTAAAACTTATAATATAATTAGTGATTCTAGTTTGATTCCCAATTCAGCGAGGCAGTTCCTACTATTTTAGCTATGCTTGTGCATGGCGTGCTGTGTGATCTTTTGTACTACCAAAATGAAACTTTAGGAAGTAGCAGTTATGTTGTGTATTCATCGTGGGTTGTCTTGCTGAGGCTCGGTACATCATTGCTCTGGAAAGCTGGATGGGTAGAGCAGACTAATGAAGCATTAGTGTGTGTCAGTAGGACCTTCTTTTATTCCACCCAACATTTTGGAAAAAAACAGGATTTTTTGTTATTTAACCTAGTTAAATTTACTGGCATTGTTCTAGGTGGGCCTTGGTTGGGACAGCAGTAGTAATTATTTTATGCTTTTACATGTGGTTAGGAAAAAGGTTGTGGGGTTTTTGGTGTGGGTTTTTTTTTTTTTGAGAGAGAGAGCGAAGGAGAGGTAAGGATTGAAACTGATAGACTAATTTTTTTTTTCTTTGTAATCAGGAAGAGACACCAATGTATTGGTATATGTGAAAAGGAGACTAGCTATGTGTGCAAGAAAACTTGGAAGAATACGAGAAGCAGTAAAAATGATGAGAGATGTAAGTAAAAATAAAAAAAACTTAGCAACTGTTGTTTTCAGTTGCATTGTCCAAATTGATGGTTTAAAGTTTCTTTCTAGGCATTATAATGAATCTAACTGAATTATTTTCCAATGAGATTTGCACATCATGATTCACGATTATTTTGAGAACAGTTCTTTCGGTTCTTACATGTAGGTTTAAAATTTTTGTATTATGTACTGTGATATGCTTACAGTTCTGTTATCCAGTTTGCCTCATGCTTGACTCAGTGACTAACTTGTCAAAATAGCCAACTTTAGACTTCATCGTAATTTTTCTTTCACTTGCCCGAGACGTATCATAAGTTCTTTTTTTCATAGGAAAATATTACTGACCCAACGAACTCACTGTGGGAGTTGTGCAGATTTGCACTGAGAGCGTGTTGTATGAACCCCAGTATACTTATTTTCCAGTAGGTGAATATAGGAAAAAAGTAAGGCAGAAACGATGTGATTATCTTCATGCTGCTTATGTGCCAGTTTCTAACACTGTGAAAGAACAGAACATTGAAAAAAATAAAGTTATTTTACTGAGTTGTATTAAGTATTTCAGGGATTCGGGTGCAATTCTATACGTGCTTAATTTATTTCTCTTTACTGGTTTGCAGTTGATGAAAGAGTTTCCACTTCTCAGCATGCTGAATATTCATGAAAACCTCCTGGAGGCACTACTGGAGTTACAGGCTTATGCAGATGTCCAGGCAGTTTTAGCGAAGTATGATGGTAAGTGATGCCTGTTGGGAAATATTGGTGTTTTCCTATAAGAGTGTAGGTGAGGTGGGCAAGGTGTGCCTGTCCAAAAGCAGATGTCTACCCATGATCTCAGCTAGTTGGCTAGATTCCCTTCATCAGCAACAAATAGGCACTTCCAGAATGCAAGTCAAGTTTGTTGTTTTTTTTTTTTTTTCCTTTTGAATGATAAGGTCAAATTTAGGCAAGCTAAATTGCATACAAATTACTTTTTATGTTTTTAAGTTACTTCTAATCTGTAAAGAAATCTTGGAGCTCATTTAGCTTCAATTCAAGGATTATTTTAATTTTTTAATCTCTTCTACATCCCTAGTTATGCCTAAATTCATCAGCCTTTTTCAGTCAGCACATAGCCCCCTATGTAACTGGTGTAAATAAGATGGAAAAGGTAGTTTTCCCTTCTGTCATCTTCCAGGCTTGGCCTCGTGATTCTGTAAGACTCCGGTTGCTCGCCAGAGATTAGCAACGTGCAGGCATACTGCTTGCCAGAGATTAGTGGTATGCAAGCTTTGGTCCGTTAAATGGCGATAGTTTGCTTTCACTTTCCATCTCAACTAATACGTTTCAGGTGTTGTGCAAGTCTAGATAAAGGTTAATAAAATATATACTTTCTTATTGTCCTCAGAGTTTTGCCACCTAGATAATGCCCACATCATTAGTGTACAAAGTGCTGCTGTCAAAGCTGTCCCTTAAATCATATTCAGAATGGAGGGACATAGAAGCAGTATTTTGTGGCAATCGTTCCCTGCCCTTGAGAAGTTGGTATGTTCTCTCTTGTGTCTCTGTTCTTTATTGCTTCAGGGAATCGAAAGTACGATATTCTTGCCCAAATCCTGTGCCCCTTGTGCGTGGCCACCCTAGCAGCCTGCTCCTCTTACTGGACCGTCCATGTTCTTCTGTGTGGATTCTTATTAATTTAACAAAACCATTTGCTCTTTTCCTGGTGCTTCTTTATGTTAACATCAGGAATTGCGACACTTCCTTAAGAAAGGGTTGCTGATTTTTTTTCTAAGCATCTGGAAAAATGAGTATGAGCTTCAAACTCTCTGTAGCGCCCCTGTGTTTTGCTTGACACGACAGCCAGACTTCTAGTAAGTGATGGACAAGCCCAGGATGGGATTTACAAAAAAAAGCAAGAGCCATCTGACTATACACAACATGGTACTTGGGAATTAGACCCCAGACTTTGTCTGCTTTTAAAGTAAACTTGTACTGTGGAGTGCTAACCTTCTAATCTGTAATTGTCAGCTCAAACTTGGCCTCAGATATTCTACAAAACCTACAACTAATAGAATTTTTCCCCATGGAACTGGAGAAGAATGGAAATTGCATTTTCATTAAAATTTGTCTGTCTGTAATGTAATTTTTTTGGTCAGCTTCTAGTCAGTCTCTCAGTATTATGTAAAACTCTGTGTTAATGTACGGTTGCAAAATTAGGTAAAGATTGGAAGCTTATTTTAAACCTTTGCGGGTTAATGCAGGAAAAGTACACTGTTCTTAAGTGTGTATTTATACATGCATTTCTCTTTGAATTCAGTTTCAGTGTCTTGGTACATGTAGAAGAAAACATTACTCTCTACCACCTAACTACAACTCTGAGTTTTTAATCTGAGGCTGACTAGTGACCAGAAAGAAGACTGTGCAAAGAAATTCAAAGTTTCTAATCATAGCTGAAATGTTCCAGATGTTACGTTCATGGTCTGCCCAAGTAAAAATCTTTAAGCTCAAAGGATGTGGGTTTAAAACGTTTGTCTTGCCTTAGAATCTTACAGCTTAATTATTTTATTTTATCGTAGATATCAGTCTTCCAAAATCGGCAGCAATATGTTACACAGCAGCCCTGTTAAAAGCCAGAGCTGTTTCAGAAAGGTAAGCAAGCACTTTTGTGAAAACAGTGGCTTGTTGCTTATCTTGGGTTACGCTGTAAAATATGAACTAAAAAGGTCTAAATCCAGTATGTAGCAGTTACATTTCTAAGAGCAAGTTAAGCGTATTTATGTATATGTATGTATGCATGTGTCGTTAAACGTAATTTAAAGTTTCTTTTAAGCATCCATAAAGTTAATACAGGTGAAGACGTTTTTCAAGAGCCCATATATGCGCATGTGCTTTTGTATAAATTTTGTTTTCTGTGTTGTGCTTGTGACGTTTGGCAGTTCTTTGTCTTGTGGATTGGGTAGGTGCATGATATTTGTGGTAGTTCATGTTGACAATTCACTTTTGTTCTGGTGTATTTGCACAGCTGATTCTAGCTTTACCTCCGAGCTGGCGGTGTTGCAACAATCTTATGAAAGACTGGGTACTCAATTACCTTACGTGATTGACATGAAGTTTCAAAAAGTTAAACGTAACTTTGTCATATGGGCATGGATGACAGTCAAGATACCTAAATTAGCTTGAACATTTGTCTCCTAGAAGGGTTTGTTTATCTTTCTTGATAAATCAGTCAATTTTTAATGAACTCCAAGCTTACAATGCAAATAAACACCTGGTTAGCATTTATTATTTACTTTTGCTCAGCATAGGTTTTTCCCTTCAGGTTCTCCCCAGAAACTGCCTCCAAAAGAGGGCTCAGTACAGCAGAAATTAATGCTGTGGAAGCAATTCACAGAGCTGTGGAATTTAATCCTCATGTTCCAAAGGTAAAGGTATTTTATTTCCTGTTGGACCACTTTTTATTGTCTTCTGAAAGAAGTCATGTTATGTTATCTTGTTATTTGAGCCTTTCTAGCCCCATGTTTTCTTGAAGGTGGTTGTAACTCCAGCCATTGTTGTTAAACACACTAGTATTTGTATCGTAAATGTTTGGAGGCCAGAATTGATTGTTTGCAGTAGGTGATGTTTAAACTGGGTCTTTTACAAAGAATTTAAACTCAAAATTTTCTAACTCATTGGAAAATCCTGTAATGTATTAATGAAGGCCCTTTGTTGAGTAAAGGTAAGCATTAATAAATACAAATTTAGATATTTGAAATCCCTGAAGCCAAATTAAGTTCTCCAAACAATAACCACTCATAGTATTTGTGTGTGAACCTCATGAGGTTCAACAAGGGTCCTGCACTTGTGTCGGGGTAATCCCTGGTATCAGTACAGGCTGGGGGATGAAGGGATTGTGTGCAGCCCTGCCGAGAAGGACT